TCAAACACAGCCGCACGTTTCCAAGCACACGTAGCATGAGAGAGCGCAGTCTCTCGTGTGATCTCGTACGCTTCCGTGCACGTCATAACGTTACATTGTAATAAGCTGCTTTTCCCATTCCGAGTGCTTATACGTGTACGCTTCAGTGGTGTGCGGTGTGGTGCCTGACTGCTTGATCGTAGCTCGTGACGTATAGTGCTATATTAACCATGCGAGCTCTGTAACCGAAAGGTGCTCTCGCTTGCTGCGTGCAGGGCTAATTATGAATTAATTACCCTGAGGTTAGCATAAATAATAGACAGACCTAGACTTGTACGTACAACAATATATATATTATATCTATTCTTTCTATCACATTAAGTACAAGCCATAACAGGGTTTTTCGTCGTGTTAGCATAACGCAATACGCGTGCGGCACACTTACCGGCGCTGGCTACGGTGGTTAGTCACATGTATAAATCAGTCTTACGTATCCTAGCTACGCGCCTCCGTCTCTCTCTGGCACATTACAGGTGTATGCTTTGCCACATACTTGTTTCTCATAGGAATAATCAACAGAGTTGTATGCTGTATTGATAACAGAGGTAAGTACCGTAAAGTAAACAGATTACAACTGACTCAAAATAGCTTTAAAGAGTAGAGAGAGACATACCAATACGCATAGAGCACTAATACGCATAGTACTATTAATACATACCAGATGTGTACGCATGAAGCTTCGAACTGATTTTCAGAAGTCTAGTGCCCGGTTTGATATCCTAAATTCAGGATCATTAGCCCTCTATCTGACGTCAGTATTGGCCTCGACACGCCCCCTTAGACGGCTCGTGTTTACTGGCACGGTTTTGCGGACTGCCGTCAAGTGACCCTTCTACGTCGACCTGCATGCTACTGGCCACGACTAACTCAATTGCTCTCTAAGATTAATTGTTTCTAAAACCTGCGCGACATCCTTAACATTCTATCCCTTAGGCAGCCGGTAGCTTTACGAATTTCCTTATATGACCTTCTTCTAATCAAACTTTCCCTTTCATGCATAATATTTAGCTTATTTACAACATCATTACATTCCCCCTTTCCAACTGCGAATGTTACACCCCCTTTTTATAACAATAAACATAACTATTGACAATATTTTTAACTTGCTGCGCGTCATGTGTTATCCATATAACTGACTGAGCAACTGCAAAACTTTATAACATAATTGTCGTGATTCTTGGCCAAATATTCCTTGCACTGTGTGAATATATGTATCCACATTTTTACACAACGTTCGTTCTGCTACAACAAAGGCTTCACAAATAAATGCTTTCCGCATACCGGTCAACGTTCACAAATATAAACCACTGTTAAACTGGATTGTTCATGCTTTTGGTACGTCTTTACCAGTTAACTAAACGAATAACGATTCAATTATAATGCAAAACATTCGGACTTGCGCCATTCATGCACACCACAAATCATAGCCTTATATAAGCACTATTGTATGCATATATCCGTGCCCACCATTTTTAGGTGTCTGAATAACGTTTACTGGCGTTCTAATCTACCGCCCTGAAACGTGCTTCTTATACGTGTCACGTGTTGAAAATCTACCGCCTAACAGCCATATCCTGTTTTAGTGTGCGTCACAGGTCTTTCAGTTTCGTGCTTATTGCATGCCGGCCGCGCCTGTGTAGTCTGCGCGGCACAACGACTATGGCGTTTCCGTCAAACCGTGGACTTGCTTGCCTGCTTATGAGCACACTACGCTACATTGTTGTCTATTACGCCTATAGGGCATTCTTCCATTTTTGGTGTTTCCACCATATAAGACCGTGCCGTTCTTTGGCCCTTCTTGGAATTACCTTTGCCAGGTGCACCACAGATCCAAGTTTGCGGCATCCCTGTAACCGTGATAGTCTCTCCCGTCATAAGGGGAAAGTAAACCTCTGGCTCCAGCTTTGCGGTCGTAAAGATAGTGTTTTGCGGTAACCTGTCTCTTCTTGGCAGGCGTTCCTGCTTACCCTATCCCTCTATCGTACGACTGTTGCATAGCTGGGCGACGCTCTGACCCGGAGCGTTACTAACCACTCTTTCGCTGTTATATCAGGTTTCAAAAAGAGCTCAAATAAGGATGAGCCTAAAGTTTTGTAGGGATAGAGCTGGCAAACGGGTAAATATTATTTCTATCGATACTTGGGCGAGTTCCACTGGGTATAGTTTCCAGGCTGACTTTTTGGCGTTTGTGCGCGGCCATCTTGAAATCCAAAATGCACCGCCAGCTGAAAATGGATTTCTGAAATATCTGGACTCCAAGACGTCTTAGAGACATAATGTTGGTGGCTATACCACATTTTCGATAATGGAGAAGCCCAATTATCACACTTAGAGCAACACTAGGATGGCCCGGCCCAGTATTTGGATTCTCATTATCGCGCCACAGTGAAATTTGTTTATTTTGAATAACTGAGGACTCCAAGACGTCGTTAGAGACATAAATTTAGATGCTCTAAAACCCACATGTTTCGCATAATGGAGAAAACAGAATTCATGACGCACTTAAGCAAAAAGCATAGGATGGCGGCATCTTGTGGATTTCAACATGGGCTGGGGTATGTTACTCCATTACTATACAGCAGTCTAAGCCCAACATAACAACATATATAAGACTACCAGAATTTGTCAGGCAATATGTAACTTTTAAACAGCTCACACTCCCAAGGAACATTGTGTGTATGGGTTTCATGCAGGCCATGTTGCATTTTGCACGCCACGGCTGGCAGCACATATGTTTTCGGCTACATGTTAAAAAACAGGGGCCGGGCTTAACGTGGGCATTACGGCACAAGGTCCGCTCCTTACTACTAGCCACATGCTTTATTGCAATAGTATTTCGGCCCACGCAATATGGATTCAGTGGTCATGCAGCCCGCTGGCTTTCAGAATGCCATTCCTGCATTATATACCAACTCGCCAGTGAAATAGCCGAAGGAAATGCTCTGAGATACTATCTACACACTGGTCAGAATCGAGCAGCTCTGATAGTGGGCTTCGATTGAGCATGTAGTATCAGTGCGTCTTTCATTGGTGCAAATACGTCAATTATTCGTCTTTGCATTGCGAAGAAACTTCGACAAGCGAATCTCCTGCTATGACTACCAATTGCTGTCGTTGCGAAATCATACAGTTTACATTATAATGGCCTTCCACTGATTGATAGCAAATTAATCTAGGCATGCATAGTGCGCTTAGATTCTGTTTCCAACTCCATGAATTTGCCGATCTGGATCTTCAATGAATACTTTCCATGCCAGCAGATTTCTTAGAAATCCTGCAAAAACTAACCGTTCGGTGTCCACTTCTCGTTTAGCGCATGAAAGCTAACAATCCCTTTCGAGTGTTGTTGTTTATTGCAATGGTCATGGCCTCTTATCACTCCAAGGCAGAATTTGAAGTTCCTGCCTTCATCCAGAACCTCCTGCGACAACTTTGCCGGCAAAACACTGTTAGCATTCATTAACACATCGGCTTATCCCTGCAAACTACAATCGTTCGCTGATATCGTGGTCTGCCAGCATCGCACGCATGAGAACAATTCGGCCTGCTGTTCAGCCTCCTTCGTGCGTTTGCTCAAAGTGCTTGACACACTCACGTTACGACGGTACATAATCGTTTTCGCCTTATTTTTCGTAACCCTCACACACAATTTATCTCTTTAACCGCCAAGCTTCACTAGAGCATTGTTTCAATTCTCTCTGACAAGAAACGAGCATAGATCGGCTTTGTTTTTCAGCGAGCAGTGATACAATGTCTTCGAGTTCTTGGAGGGATGTTTTGTGTAAATTTACCTGTAATCAATCCGCTAATTTAGTTTTGCTTCCCTTGATCGTTGTCTTTCTCGTGTTACCTTCTTTAATTAGAATTCTCCTCGTATCGATCAAAATATAATATCTATCCTTGTCGCTGAATTTCTCTACCGCTTGCCCTGACTTTTACACAGTTCACAAACACATCTGCTAAAAGCTCACCAAACGTAACTGCTAGCTTGTCGAGTTTTCCCAATGGATTGCTACCACTAGCCCATACCATCATAATGCGTACATGTTTTTAACGATGTCAACTGATTAGGAAAATCTGCGCTGCCGAATGATCTTTCGACAGAATATTTATTAGTTCTGCCGATTTGTTGTCGCCTTATTCGCGAGCAGAGACGGAGAGAGAGCAGAGAGCTAACCAGAGCAGGCGTACGGGCCGCCCATGCCAGGACAAGGCCATTTTTGTACCTATAAACTTGACAAAAATGAGTTTTGTGCCAAACACAAACTCAATTCTGTCAATCCCTGCTCCCCAAAAACTCAAATTTTGTGAACACAAAACTCAATTCTGTCAACCGGTTCCACAAACTCACATTGTTGCTAAACACAAAACGTCAATTATCTGTCGAACCGGTTCCACAAAACTCAATTTCTGTAACACAAAACTCAGATTCTGTTGGAACCGGCTTCACAAAACTCCAATTTTTGTAAACACAAAACTCAATTCTGTCGAACCGGCTTCCACAAAACTCATTTCATAGTAGAACACAAAACTCATTCTGTCGAAACCCGGTTCCACAAAACTCGATTTTTGGTTTGCCCAAATTATGGCACACGCCATGTAGAAGGGCTACATTGGTCAGGAAGAAAACCAATGTAGCCCTTCTTACATGCGTGTGCCATATTTGGGCCCACAAATCGAGTTTCTGTTAATAGTAATAGTAATAGTAATAGTAATAGTAATAGTAATAGTAATAGTAATATTCATGGGGCTAACTGTCCGGACTAGCACCTATTTTGTCCGGGATAACGTGTACACGCTGCAAATGTTTGGCGCGCGCCTGGCCCGGACTAGTTTGATGTAGGATCAAATTTGAAGTCTGTACGGAATAAGAGTAAGTGATTGATAGTAACTGGTTTACTGTGATTGTTTTACGGTAATAGTAATGGTGAGGTAACGGAGATAATCATTTTTTATTACAGTCTGTCGCAGAAGAGTACGTATCCTGCTATGGGTAAGCGCCCTCGCCATTATACTCTGCTGCAGTCTTCTGCCAGAGCAGGAGCAGAGCAGAAACCTTGTCGGACAGCCGGAAACAGTTCACATCCTCATGTTCTTCGCTAAAGCTGAGAAGAATGACCAGCTTCAACAGCAACTTAGAGCCAACATTAGGTTCGTTCCCCGTTACAATAATTCGTCGTGTTATCGCATCGCGTGCGTTATAAAAGCAGGCTTTTTAATCTTAAATGACGTTTCACCGATCTTGTGCGAACATGTATCGATATGCTTCGCGTCGTTATCTGGTCGAATATTAGCGTCCAGTAGTGGTGAGAGCTTTCACGCTCGTGTTTGCTATTACCAAGGAATGCCTCCCAATGTCGGTAGCAGCGTTTGCGACCGTAAAAATGTACCCGGCTTCTAAATCGAGCCAAAGACAAGTGATACGAGAACACTTGTGGACGCCTATATACAACAGTCTCGCATTTTCCTTAACCACGCCATCACTCACGGGTCGATCTTTGACAACCGCATTTTCTTACGCAGGTCTATGGTGAAGTATGCAACCGGTCGGATCAAGTACCATTTCCTGGGCGACGCGAACAGCACCCGGATCGCAGCCGACATCCTGGAAAACGTGTTCGATACAATTCCGCACAGAGAGGATCTAAGCATACATGTATTAGAAACACGTAAAATACCTGCGCTAGATAAGATTGTCTATGCATTCCTAATTGCATCATGCATTCCTAACCTGTGCGACGTCCGCGGATACCGGCTCACATATGTCAAAACTACCATTTGGCACACATTTATTCGAACTGGTAATTCGAACTGCTAACTGAATAAGTAGCTGGGTATCAAACT